AATTCCTTCATATTTGTATTTTGCTGATAAAATATGTGAATTGTTTAAAAAGAAGCTGAAAATGTCTTAAAAGGAACTAGAATGCATGGAATTAGAGAATATTGAAATCTATCCCATGTGCCACGAAAAGAAGCAAAACACATCTAAGAGATCTAGATCGGAGAATACGCTAAAGCGGTCCCACGCGCTGTGGAGATCTTTGCACAGGTCATGTATTTTACGAAGTTTGTAATTACAATGTGAATTTTGACCTAATTAATACATTACACACCAGAAAAAGATACAACACTGCAAAGGTAGAAGGAGTCGGCCAAGAAGGGCTGTTTTGATAGTACTTTGGCTATATCAGCTGGTAGGATGATGTACATGTAGAAATCTAAAGATCAAGAGAAGAATCACTAGGGTATCAAATTGTTTACTTTTTTTTTTATCTATAATCAATCTACTATATGATCTCTTACATGTTCTTTTTCAAGATTTGTGATCAAGCCCTATGAGTATTTGATATTTATGAAGACCAAGTTTTAATGTTGATTACAATTTGGTTATTGAGATTTGTTTAATTATTATGTCTGCTTGATTTAGGATCCATGCATATCACTATTGGAAGTTGTAACGCCCGTGTTTCAAGGCAAAGAAGTAAAAGTATTATGCAATAGTTATGGTCGACAATTGTAACATATTCTGAAGTAATAAAGAGAAATTATTTGAATATTATGTGATTTATGTGATTTTGTGTGCATTTTACTTATTTATAACAACCTAATCAAATAATAATAAAAATAATCATCAAAAATAAAATAATAGATAAATCAAATATCTATGAAGAAAGATGAAGTATTCATAACAAGGATTTTGGGGATATAAGGAACACTAAAATCTGACTTATAACGAAGAAGTTATCGAATATCAAAGTTTTGCAGCAAAACCGGCACGACACCGACAATCGTAAAAAGTGAGTTTGCGATAAAATACATTTTATCCTTAACGATCTAAACGAAAGTCGTATTATACTTTAAACTGAGAGCGTGCTTAAAAAGAATATATAAATCTGACTTCGTATGAAGAAGTTATAATTTTTCTAAGATTTAGTATATTAATACACATCTCGGAATTTGAATTGTAGATCGACTGGCTTTTAGTTGATACAATGTAAACAAGAATCGAAGATCTCGTTAATAAGAACTCTACTATATAAACGCAGACGAAAACGGATGTCGGATGACAAAGTTATGATTTTTTGAACGAATTTTCTTATCCAGGCCTGTTAAAATATAACTTTATAAATAAATTCAAAATTAGCCGACTGAGTCTAAACGAAAGTTGTAGAGTACGTCGACACCTATGTGTGGATATAAAGAACATCGAAAATAAAGCTCGTATGTGAAAGTTACTGAATTTAAAGTCGGAAACAGGCTAATGCGAGGAGGGTGATGTGGCTTAATCTGGACCATTGCTTCCTACCCATAGCGTCGCATCGGATGACTGACAGCTTCCCTCATACACACAGCATACTGAGTACGCATAATGTACTCTAAAGAGTACGCCCAGGGTAGTCCGAGGCCAACTCCTGTAAATAGGTGTGAGGTTATCCTCAATTCTTCACAGCTTCACCCTTCTTTCTCTCTCAACACTCTGAAACTATCCCTACCCTTCCCTAGTACTTCCTAAGTACTAGAGGCTAGTCCCAGAGTGCCAGAAGACTCCTAGAAGAAGAGCTTTCAGCTCGGATGTTCTGTCCGCGTAGAGGCTGGTTCCTAGCCAAAAATCCTAGTAAGTAAGGTATGCTTACCCTACTTTAAGTATAACTTATATTTAAGTTTAGTATCTTTATTATGCACATATAAACAATATATGTATTATAAAATATAATATACAAAATGTATTATAATATCTTTTAACTACTCGCGATACGGGGAATCTAGTTTGAAGGGTCGCACATGGTTATTGGATTTTAGAAGTGCTTAAATGTCAAAATGAACCTGCCCTCCGGTGTTTCGTGTCTGGCCTCTGTCTGTACATAGTTTTTGAAAAGTATTATTTAATACTAGACTAAAATCTAATGATACTAGGTTTCGTCGAAAGAAAATAGAATTGTTAGAGGCGAAGCGCTGCCCGAGTTTGGAATCATCACTTTAACAAGTGAGTGCATAGTTACTTTCATCTTACACATAGATATGAATTATTTGTTATAAAATACGTGCTATGTATGCATATAATTTGTGTACTTGATGTTTATGCTGGATGAACAAAATATACATGTTTTATTTTATTTAAACTGTATATTTATTTTATACCTATAGTTATGATGGGTAAAGATGGGTAGATGATATAGATGGTGAAATAAACGATGAGAGGCCTCAATGTTTAATATGATCTATTCATCTAGTGGAGTATAGATGACGACCATGGACTATTCTAGACAGTCTAGTGGAACGATGGCAGACTCGCAACATGTAGGTGTTTTTTTTAACTAAGTATTCACCAAGTGTACTCCGTCCACCTCATTGTTACCTTATTTGACTTGTATTGCAAAGGAATCCCCTACAAAATGTTGTCATCCCGACAAAAATCCTTAGGCTAGGTTCGTTACTTTAGATGCTTTAGGGAAAGAAAGTAAGGATAATAGGAATGGGTAATCTAGATATTTGATTTAATGAAATTAATAAACTGAATTATTATGCATTGAAAACCCTATGTGCTCACCAGCCTCCAAGTTTGACCCACTCAGTTTCTTGTATACAGGTAGTGGCAAGAGATCATAGGAGGGTGCATATGTGACAATCAGGGTGCAATTGCCTTGGCAAAAGAACCAAGATCACACAAGAAAACCAAACACACTATCCGAAGACTTGAGTTTATTCGGTACAAAGTTTAAGATGGTGAAATCAGTATTCGTAAAGTTCACATTGACCAAAATTTTACAGACCCTTTAACGGAAACTCTTCCTCAAGAAAAGTTTGAAGGTCATGCTCGAGGTATCAGACTTCGATATTGTAGTGATTGGCTTTGATCCATGCATTAGTATTGAGTATTACAACATTATGTAGCATCATCTATTGTAATGACTATGATATATATATATATATATATATATATATATATATATATATATATATATATATATATGGCGTATGATAGTTTCATTAAATATATGTTAAGTTCTTTATTAAAGAGATTAATCCTTGAGTAAATTTATTCACTCTAAAATGCATAGTCTTTTATTATTGCAGGATCAATAATGAAATATGACTAATATGAATTGGAGTGGTTGACAAAGTGTTCTAACCAATTTCATAAGTACTTGATAGAGACCAAGTATTGGATTGACCCGTTCAGGATTATTTCAAGGATCACTGTTATGAATAATACTTGATAAAATGTAATATCTATGTATCCTTAACACCTAAGATACATATATGCGACTTGAGTATGGGGAGTTTTATGCCTTGATGTAGTCATATGCTGTTCTTTAAACAGGCAGTTATAAAAGCTATTATCAGGTATAATATGAACCATACAAGAGGTGTATATAGTCAATATGTGATTTGTTCATCTTATTCGTTGAGAGTTATATATCTAAGGCCTTATGGAAAGTTGAATACTTATATGAGACTAACTGTAATCTATATCTCATATTCAACATAATGTTAGTAGCAAAGGGATAACTGATAAACTTACCTTATACACAAATTGTAACCTTGGGCTTCTGGGGAGTTAGGTGTTCATAGAATGGCACAAAGTCGTACTTTGATGGGGGTAGTGAAATGTAGCTAGATGTTTACCACTTTTTATATCAAACTGATATGATTCTTGTATAAATGGGAGATTGAAAGTTCTTATATGCTGAAGATTAATATTAAAATGATATTATTAATTAACATATGATCCTAAGGTTCATAGTAACAACAACTTGATACAATTGGTTTAGCTATTAGAAATTGATTTTAATAAATATTCACAAACTCTTATAATAAATTAGGAAAATATTTAGTTCATGATTATAATTATTTTAAAATAACAAGTAACATAAGATTTCATATGGTATAAATTAATGTCATGTACAACCTTTTGAACTAGTTGAGTCTTTTTGTATTTTACCTAAATATAAAGTTTATAATTTATAAAGTTGGTTTATAAAATTTAAACTCTTATTCAACTTGTTTGAAAACAAAAATCTTGCAATGTAGGTTCAAATTGTTTGATAATATTTATATTATTTTCCAAACAACAACCTAATCTTATTCAACCAATACTTAGTTTTGTAATCAACAAACCATTTTTGTCTATACATTTTTGTAAATTTTTTGAATTGAAAATGGTTTTGACTGATTTGAATAACAATAGTTATGCATGAATATTGAATTTACAATTTGCCTCTTTTTTCTATAATCTGTAGATAACTTTTGATAAGAAATTATGTAGAGAGAAAAAAAATTATGTTTAAAAAGTCAATGTATTTAAATTGAAGTTTATTTTAGCCGCAGACTGTAAAAAATAAATTGTAATATTCTTATGGACTACAAATTAATGTTTCATATACATTTTTTTTACCTGACTACAAACATTTTATTTATTAAGAAAGCAAACAACACCAAAGTTACCGACCCCTATCCATAATTTCTTTTTCTACAAATATCCAAAGGAAATTTTATCGAACAAAAATCTATATAAATTATATTTTTAACTACTTTTTAGGGAAAAATGCTGCCCCATTGTTGGGCCATGTATGCTACCATCAAAATTAATATTTTTCATTAATATCGATATATATATTTATGTCTTCTTCAAATAAATATGAAGGATTTTGACGGGAATAACTATTTGCATATGATAAAATGATTGTTTTAATTTATTGAAAGTCAAAATAAAGCTGTTTTATCTGTGGTTGATATTCGCCTCCCAATCTGAGCATCATCAAATTGATGAAATGTTGATTAATCTACGAATGAAAAGTATTCTATCTAAACCAATTTAATGTCGGATTTGCATGGATCCATAGGAAGCTTCACTGTTTTCCTTACTTTGCATCTCCAATGGCCGACTTTGTTTACTTTCATTGGCTTGGGCATGTTTGAATTTCTCAACACTTGTTCACCTCCACTGACTATAAAATACCTTCTCCTATCCGTTGTCCAATATACCAAATTAATCCAATACTTCAACTAATCCAAAACATAAATCTTTCTAGTAATGGAGGTGTTTTCTCATAACAAAACACCCCTTTTCTTTCTTGTGTTGTTTGCCTCTTTGATCACATTGGCACTTGGCCAAACCCGAGTAGGCTTCTATCAGACCTCATGCCCAAGAGTTGAAGCCATAGTGCAGTCTGCTGTCGCAGCTGCTAATCGGGCCAACCCAGGAGTCCCACCCGGTTTGGTTAGAATGTTTTTTCACGATTGCTTTGTTAATGGCTGTGACGCCTCTATCCTAATTAATGGTGATGGTAGTGAGAGAACTGCTCCACCCAATACTCTACTGAGAGGCTACGAGATAATCGATGCTGCAAAGACCCAGCTTGAAACCGAATGTCCTGGAGTGGTCTCCTGTGCTGATATTCTTGCTATCGCTGCTCGTGATTCTGTGCTCCTGGTAATTTATTCATAGCTCAATATTTATATTAGCTTAAGCATTTTTAATGCGCCAGTAGAAATGGTAAAAACCAGTGTTAAAACTTTGTAGTAATTATATATTTTTAATTACTGTTGTCCAGGCTGGGGGAATTGCGCGTTGGCAAGTGCCATTAGGTCGGAGAGATGGATTGGTGTCACGTGCAGCTGATACTACAAATCTGCCTGCTTTCAATGACGCCGTTGATGTCCAAATCAGGAAGTTTGCTGAGAAAGGTCTTAACACCCAAGATCTTGTTACCCTTTCTGGTAAGTTAACCACAAAGAATAGTTCAACGTGTGTTTTATTGATTTTGCAGGAGCACATACACTTGAAACTCCTAGTAAGAAGAAAATTAATAAACTGATGTGTTTGTGGGTTTTATTGATTTTGCAGGAGCACATACACTTGGAACAGGAGCGTGTTTAGTGTTCAGTTACAGGCTATACAATTTCAACAACACCAATGGTCCCGACCCGTGTATTGACCCTGCATTCCTTACCACGCTCAGAAATCTGTGCCCCAACGGAGGTGATAGTAGAAGGCGTGTGGCTCTTGATACTGGTAGTGAAAATAGATTTGATACTTCGTACTTTGCAAACTTGAGGAGCGGGAGAGGAGTACTTGAATCTGACCAAGTACTGTGGGGAAACCCTACAACACGAACACTTGCACAACGGTTTCTTGGAGTTAGTGGACTAGTTGGATTGACCTTCAATGTTGAGTTTGCGAGATCAATGGTGAGGATGGGTAATATTGAGGTGAAAACTGGAACTCAAGGAGAAATTCGTAGGGTTTGCAGTGCATTTAATTGATCAATGTTAGATCTAATTGAGAATCTGGTCAATTTTGTTTGGATTAAGTGTTAATACTTAATATATTGTGTCTCTTTAGTAATATTTTGTGATACTTCCACTACGTGCCTCTTGTTATTGTAATATCTTTTTTTTTTTTCTAATAAAAAGAATATTTTTAATCTTATATGTCATGAATTAGAATCCATTAATAATATTCTAATAAAAGGAATATGTTTAAGTGTCATGAATTAGAATCCATTATTAATGTTATATATATCATTTATCATCTCACTTGTCAACCTATTAATTATTCAATTCAAATTTCAAATTTTCAATTTCACACTCTAATTTTATTAAATTAATAATTGATTCTTCATTTTAACTTTCAAATTTAAAAATTTCTCTCGTTAATTATATTAAATTAATAATATTAGATTAAAAAATAAAATAAAATTAATATAAATTATAAAATGATATAACTCCACGTATTTGTTTAAATCAACGATTATAATTTTATATAACTAAAAAAAATATCTCTTAATTGATAATTTATTCAAAACAATTTATTAATGATTTTAATTTTTTAATATGAAAGTTTAATTAATTTTATAACCATGATTTTCACGGGTTATAAACTAGTATTTTATAAAAATAAATCAGTAATATAATGTGGTTCCATTGTTTAGATACATATTATTGTATATTTATCTTCACGTTATTCAGCTAGTATAGAATTTACAGTACTATATGATGTTAGTCGCAGATATGCTAAAGATCTTCTAGAAGTAATTGAATATTAATAAACAACAAACATCTATGTTGATTAACCACTTTAAAAATCCAAAAACTTATTACGTTACCATCTGGAATAAGCTTTCAATAAATCTTATAAAATTTTCTAAATCAATAAATCTTATAAAATTTTCTAAATAGCTCATATTGTACTTATTTATTTAAAATACATATTTCACTTTTATTTTTAGTATATATTGCGATAACTAGGTGAGACATGTGTAATACATGAAATTTTTCTTTAATTTATATATTTTGTTGATTATATGTTTAATAATTTACAAAACTAAATTTGAAAAAAATATCAATATTAGCCATAAATTAACCAATTGTTGAATTTGCCGAAAATTATATTTTTCAATTAAGAAAGTTGATTTGAATTTAAATTGATTGTAATATATTAATTGACATATTACGTGAGAATTTATGGAAACATTTAAGTTTCTTTATTTTCGTTATTAAATTTTTAGATTAGATTCTTTTATAATTTAATAACAAAACCAAAAAAACCACAACTTATCACTCTTTGACATATTTCAGGGGAGAATACATTTACTTCTTGTGTTAGATAACACAAAAATACACATAAAATATCATTATTATATGTAGAAACCATAACTAGTTTATAATTTATTGGTTTAGCTTTTATATGTTACGAATACATAAATTGCTTTTAAACTTCCATATTTTTGTACGGGTAAATGACACAAACGTCCTACGGACTTTTTAAGATTTACTCGTTGAGTTCCTAAAGTTCTTGTCGGGCTTTATGGGTCCCTAAACTAGGATACGACCTATTTTTTTAGTCCCTGTCAACCTGTAATAATCGGTTAGGGACCATTTAAACCAAAAAAACTTACATTGTGCCTCTATAAAACAAAATAATAAGTTCGGGGATCAAAATTCTTATGCCATAAAAAGATATCAGAATCGTCTGGTTTTAAATACTATTTCAATTGAAACATACAGAGAGATGGGAATTGAGAAGTTGCACAACATCACTACTGTGAGAGAGTGATAGATCGTATTAAAATGAAGAAACCGCTTCTTCATTCTTGTTACAGAAAAACGAGCCAAAATGCTAGAAACAACGTGGTGGACCGGAGTCAGAAAGTGTAAGCGAATCCAAGATGAAGTTTTCGGTTTTTTCAGGTAGTAGAAGTTCGAATGCGTATTACATTATAACTCTCTGTAATTGCTCAAATGTTGATGACTGACTAATAGTAATTATTTTTGTTTTGTTTGGTTCCCATAGTTGTCGCCGACATCAACTCCACCGCTACTGTGCAAGCAATCGAGTCTCTTCTCCGATTAATCCGCGATGTAGCGAGTCTCTCCGGTAGTGGATTCAAATGAGCATTCAAGAAGGAGTGTACAGATCTTTCCAAAAGAGTCTCCTTGTTGTTGCATTTGTTTAAAGAAATTAGGAATTTTATATGTGATCGTACACCGTTTCGTATGACAGGTACTTTGTTAACGTTTTATTGTTCCTTACCTGAGCTAACGAAGAATCTTAAAGCTACTACAAGATAACTTCAGTCAGCATGAAGCTTTGATAACAATGTTAATATTTCCCCTATAAGTTTATTGACTCGATCGAGAATCAATTAAGTAATCCTTATCTGGATTCATCTGTCATTATTATTGTTCTACACCACTAGATGATCATCTTTCACTGTTTAATTACATGTATAGGAAAGAACAGACTTGCAATTCAAAGGTGAACTCCAAAGTGTTAAATGCTATTTGGAAAAGGAGTTAGCTAAGTTGCCAAAAACTTAAAAACCTAACTCTCACTCTAAATTATGCCTTTAGAAGTTTAATACCAAAATGATGTACAAATCGGAATCTTAAACCACCAACTTTACCACCAAAAAAGATCCAACTAATCTTTGGTAAGGCCTGGAGTCATTCTATTGGAGAACAAAGGGCAGTCGAGTTTATAAATTGATTAATGTATACTACTTTGGGTGTTTCACTCATTTGTCAGCCAGGTGAAAGGGTGCACTTAGAGTCTCCTAACTAAAACAACATTTTGACCATTTGATGCCCGAACATATTTTTTTTTTTGGATTTATAGGGGCACAATGTGAGTTTTTTTGTCTAAAAGGTCACTGAACTGGTTATTTTAGGTTTATAGGGACTAAAATAGCAAGTCATATCTTAGTTTAAGGACCCATAAAGCCGAATAAAAACTTTAGGGACTAAATGAGTAAACCCTAGAAAGTTTGTAGGACGTGTGTGTCATTTTCCCTTTTGTATGCTATCTTGTTAAAATAAGACAATCTATAAAAATAACATATGCATTTTTACTACCAAACCCTATGATTTTTTTTTTTTACATTGTGTGGCATAAAATGCATGTCATAAAACTTTGTTGTATTCCTATGGATTTTAACTATACATGCATATGTACAAATTTTATACTAAAAACATACTTAGTTAATAAAAGCTAGTGCCCTTTACTATACATGCACACCAATTATGCTTGAATTTTATAAACTCCATATGATTCCTTATGCCTAGAACTTATCCACTTTTAAGTTATGGCTGAGAGCTATTCATACCTTAGTTAAGGGCTTTTTAGTGAGACATTATTTATTAGCTAAAGTCTAAAAACTTAGTATGCCCACACTACTATAACCGTTAATATTTGGAGCGAGATACATTTGTATAGATCTATATGGGGTTGACATCCTAAAATGTGGTTACTAGCAATAACCTCGACCGATTACTCAAAGCGGGTGATAAGTGTCTAGTATCGTTACTACGACGCCCAATGAAGCGTTATAGCAGGGTGCATTCAGCCACATATCTCGGTTATAAAACTCACCATAACATTAACTCGACTCTCTCTCTCTCTCTCTCTTTCTCTCTCTCTCTCTCTCTATTACTATAACTCATAAACTCGATTCTTTCAAAACCGTTTTAAGTGTGGATTTACTTATACCAAGACTCGTTTTGTTTTTTCAAAGTTATTTAAATATGGTTTACTTATAAAGAAAATACTTTTTAACCGCTTTTAAATGTATCCTTATTGTTGTCGAAGAAAACATATGACCCTTACCAACCTTGTGTTGACCCTCAAAACTACATGTATTCTCAAGGAATCAGTAATCAAGAAAATTCAGACAATGGATCGTCATCGATTTCATGGGATCTAGTTTACTACTTTTTGTTATGCTAGCCTACCTGTTTAAGAAAATTCATATATTATACTATTATATGTAAAAACCATGTATTCTAAATCAAGATGGAATACAAATGTTGTTATGTTTATTGTTGTACTTATGTTATATATATATATATATATATATATATATATATATATATATATATATATATATATATATATATATATATATATTCAGTTTACCTATAATCTATGAATTTAGTCGCACAGCCTGACATGTTCGGCTGCCTCGGCCGGGGATGTGACAGATTGGTATCAGTGTCAGGTTGGCTATAAAGAATTCATATCCTTGAAAGAGGAAATACCACTATAGAAGCAAGATCCTACTAAAAGTATTATTATTAAATAAACTACTTCTTGGCTATGTATAGTATGAGGAATCTGGTTTGAAGGTCCTCATAGGGTTATGGGATTTAGAATTGCTTAATTTCTAAAATGATCCTACCCTCTAGTATTTCCTGTCTGGCACTCATCTGTACATATATATTAGTCTTGGAGTCCAAAACAAAATTTAATAATACTACAAACCTCACCAACGTTAATATATAAGAGTTATATATAAACTCTTAATAGCGATGAGAACACTTAATCAAATTTTAAACATCACTTCAACCAAAACTACCCGCTCAATCCTTTAGGTCAAACGCCTCAACTAAGGTTAGTGTCGTACACAAGCCATACCTTAAATAATTTTGGAACGCAAGCCTATGTTAATTATGGTCGGGTTGGTGCAGAACCAACCTTAAGCTAGGAGTTTGATAGAATATAATGTTTGAAAGTTTTAGAGATTAAAGAATGTTCTCAAGATTCGGTTCAGGTACCTAGTACCTTAGAAACTTTATATCAACCCCAAAACAATGTATACATTTTGAATTATAAAAGTACTTAAAAATTTGGGATAACGTTAAGATTTTCCTAGTTCGCCTAAATCCGAAGAATCGATAGGTCCACTACCTTCGTACCCATAAGTTCCCAGACACTGATTCAATAATCTTTAAACTTCTCTCTCCCAAAGATGACAAAGACGTAAATACTTTCTGTTATTTTAAATTTGAAGGATTTCAGTTCCCTCCATATTAATTGGAAATCTGAAGGATTTCCGAATCAATCTCCTTTCCCCTATCGTTTAAATCAACCTCACTTTATAATTTGGAAACCTACAAGATTCTATGAACAAATTATACTAATAGATTATCATACAATACAACTCCTACATACTTCTTTATGATTAATTAGTATAAACAACTTAAGTGTGTATTTTCTAAACGTTAAGGATAAAGGCCTCTCGAAGAAA